CTGAAAGACAGCTGTAAGAAGAAGCCAAGGAGTAGCAGTAGAAAGGCTGCAGAAAGAATCAGGAGCCCAGAGGAGGGGGCAAAAGAAGTGAGGGGGTGGAGGCAGAAAAAGGAGAAGAAAGCAGACGACAGAACATTGCTAGAGAGCAGGACTTGAGGTGAAAGGAGACACATCTAGAGAAGAAAATGTTTCGGTCGCTCCCCGGATTCGAACCCGGGACCTCAGAATGAGAGGCCAACACCTTAACTTCCAGGCCACGAGAGCCCCCGACACAGTGCCTGCCCACTACACCACGCACACCTGGGTAGATCTACCTGTACGTTGCTCGTTAGTCTCTCCAGCGAGTGGGGCCAGCAGACGTCAAAGGATGATTACATGGAACGGGACACAAATCTCGAGGAGAAACGAGCCGTCCACACCCACTTTATTGCTTGTTGGAATATACGAAATCCTGACCCTGATATTATCAGTGATAATGAGATCACGAAGTGGATGATTGCTGTAGAAGCTTCACGATTACTTTCACTCGTTACGTTAAGTAATAGCTACACAAAGAGATACAGGGTGTCTAAAAATTATTTTAAAAGGGGAACCACTTAACCGTTTTTGAACCGTACCGGCCTAAACCGGCCTTCCCGTCATGTTGCAATACCAGCTTTCCCGATATAGAGACCCAAAACCGGCTCTGACCGGTCTGACACACCCGCCTTTAGGGAAGGGTTCAGAAGTAAGGACATTCCAATCTAAACTTAGATGCTGACGTCCTAAGTATTTGTATGTGACATGTCAATTAAATACTTGGCTTAGATTTAGAAAAATAAATAAATATGTGAGATAGCGTGGTGGAATCAGGCTCTCGTCAAAATAATCAAAGTGAAGAAACGTGCATTTTTCCGCGGGTTTGTGAATTTTTAGAAAATTTTGGGTTTTTTTGCTCAACACCTTTCATGTCCATTAAAGAACTAATTCTTGTGTGGATTTTTCTGAAAAACGTTGATTAAAGGCACAAACAACGTAAATTTTTAGTTACCACAGGCTCTTAAGCTAAGGAAATAACTAATCTTTGGCGGCCATTTTCTCACTAATTTTACATCTGAAAACAGGCGACCACCACCTCCTTCATTTTCAAAAACCTCGACTCGTATTTAAGATAAACGGATATTTTTTTCATCCCAATAAAGACAAGTGAACAAGCTTTAAGATGACATCATAACTCTACATGCCCAAAAATTGACGAGAGCCTGATTCCACCACGCAGCCATATATAGCAGCAAATTGCTTTGCTGCACCCCCCCCGAACCTTAGAAAAACACTGAAATAACTCGGTTCTGGGAAGGCCGCCATTTTGGTTCTGCTGTACTGACCTATTTATGATGCTAAGGGGGCTAGAGGGCAATAACTCTGCCATCTCTGTAGATCTACTTACTTCTTTTTTTTTTTTTGGTAAAGTATTTTACGGCGCTCGCAACTGCATAAGGTCATATAAGCGCGCAGGACACACCTAATATTTTCAGTTGGTAGGAAATTTTGAATTTTGCCCGGGTGGCGGCCGAAGCCTACTCTAACGATTTTAGATCACCAAGGGATCTTTAACGTGCGCAATTTGTACACGGGCCCTCCGAGAATTTTCGCCCTTGTCCGAGAAGGCTAGGTGTAGATGTTTCCTACCAGAAGATCAGGGGTGTGGTTGAAAGACAGCAGTAAGGAGGAGCCAAGGAATAGCAGTAGAAAGGCTGCAGAAAGAGTCAGGAGCCCAGAGGAGGGGGCAAAGGGGGCGGGGGTAGAAAGTGGAAATGAAAGCAGACAACAGAACATTGCTAGAGAAGCAGGAAAGGAGGTGAAAGGAGACAATTTTAGAGAAGAAAATGTTTTTGGTCGCTACCCGGATTCGAACCCGGGACCTTTTAAATGAGAGGCCAACACCTTAACCTCTAGGCCACGAGAGCCCCCTCTACTTACGTCAACAAAACTTCCAAAAGATGTAATTCACCACAGCATGACGTCAACTTTGTAAATAGGAAGAAAATCAATTGTCGTGTTTGAGAAATATCAAGTTAAAAAAATCTAAACCGAAATTGGCTAAAACTCTAAACTTTATTACTTCTTTTAGTTTTAGTCAGAGTTTTACGGCATTTGCAACCCAACTTAGGTCATATAAGTCTAGTGCCGTATTACTTCTTTAAAGTGTTCCGATTCATGGACATGATCGGTGCATCGTGGTTTCAGGACGAGAAAGTCAAAACCGTCAGTGTCACTTCAGATGGATAACTTCTCATCGTGTTGAGAGTTTTGAAGAAGTTCAGAGAGGAGAACGTGTTATGTTTTAGTTTTAGTAAGGTTTTACGGCGCTCGCAACTGCATAAGTTCATATGAGCGTCAAGGGGTGGATGTCAACAGAGAAGTCCAAACGGGGAATCAGGCTTACTCTGCTCACCTCTCTAGCCTCAACAGCACAAAGTCTGCTTCGACTAGCAAGGCACCCCGGAAATAGCAGTTCACAAGACAGTGACAAACATAAAAAATAAGTAGAGGGAAAATGACGATAGTAAGGATGAGGAAAGAAAAAGCAGCTGTTCCCCCAATGTTGTTCCGATACAATATGAGCATGACGTTGATAAATCAGCCCATTTACGTGTCTACTGTGCATAAGAACATGTTAATATCCCCATTTTGGGAATGGTCTAAAGACAACTTCAGTCAGTGGCACAGCCCTGTTTAGGGGGGGGGGGGGAGTTCGCTGTCTACAGCCGGATAACCATTCCCACCTGGATGAAGTGAAGTGAGCAAAGTGTGTACAATGTGCCTTCCTATCCTATACAATACAATATACAACTGTAACATAGCACATTGCGTTCTGTCTAAAACTAAAAGAACATCACTCCAAATATTTATCTTATTTATTTAAAAACAGAAATGACTTCAGCTGACATTTAAATGCAGCAAAAGATTTGATCTCTCTTAAAGTACTTTGCAAAGCATTCCAGATCTTGGGGCCTTGATATTCACATTCCCTTTCACCCATTGTTTTAAGTTTCCTAGATGGTAAAAGAAATTTCTTTTTGTCAGCTGATTACCTTAAGCGAGTTGGAAGATATAGTCTCAACAGATTTGATAAATATGACGGCGCATCATCATTGTGGCGTTTGTGACATAGGGTGGCCAATTTATACACAATTCTTTTCTCAACAGGAAACCAGTGCAAAGTTCGTAAAAGAGGTGTAGCAAAGTCTCGCGATTTCTTTTCCGTAAAACTAAATGTGCAGCATTGGTTTTTTAACAGAGTTTTAGTAAGAGTTTTACACAATAAGGTCATATAATTGCAGAAGAATAGATTACTTGTTACAAGAGAGTAACAAACACCAAAAGAAGGTTAGTTTTAATAGAGGTTTTACGGCGCTCGCAACTGCATAAGGTCATATGAGCACCAGAAGATTAGAGGGGTTACAAGAGAGTAACAAACATAAAAAAGAAGGAGGGGAAATAAGGACGACAGATGATTGATAGGAACAAAGGAGCAAACCACACCAGAGCACCCACCAACCACACACGCAGTATTGTTTTGGACAGTTTGAAATCTTTTTAGCTTTCTCCATTGATATTAATGATATTCCTGATCCTAGCCCTACAAGGAACTAGATCTAGACCACCGAGGTGAGCTGGTAAAGAGACAATTCAATTTGGCAAAACCAGGAGATGCTGGACAAAAGAACTTTGTGGCTCCTACGGGGGGGGATTTCGGGGGAGACGGAATAGATATTATTTCGAGAAGGATATGTTCGCGTCTGCGCGTCTGGGACCAAAATGGCGCCCCGCCGGAAACAGTCATGTCACTTGCCGGTCCCAAAGTTTGAAAGTTGTGGCTGCCAATAGAGAGAAAGGAGAAACTTTTAAGGCCCACGTTTCAGGGAGTAAAATGACAAGGCCGGCAAATTTCAGCGTCTAGTTCGGGATGCGCAAACCTGATCCTGCAATTTGTGGAACATTGAACGTACTTTCCCGGAGCTGGGAAAACTAAAATGTTAACGAAAGGAGGGAAAGGGAAAGTAGGTGGATGTGTTGTTAGGCTGTGGACAGGCAGGAGGGTGGGGGTG